GACGATACTCACTCATCACTTTATTACTTGTTCGATTGTGTATACTTGCACATCATTTACGTACAATTTTATAGTACTCACAACACATAATACATTTTTGGCACCGTTGTTGGGGATTGGCAGTGTGAGTTAATTAGTTTGGCCAAAACATTTTATTTTGCTTCTTTATTTTTGTATAGTTTACTTACACCTTCACTTTATTATTTTTTAGGCTTATTTGGTTTATGCCTAGAAGACATTCTGACGAGTCATTTGAACCTGGCATTGAGAGACTTTTTAGGAAAAGGAGACGTGCTCAACGTGTTCGAGAAAACATGTATCAAATTGGGAACTGGGCATTGGTCAAGAAGAAGGTAATCAGAATGTTGAGGCATTCCACAATATTGGGCCTGCTGATAGGCCTCGTGCTATTCGTGATCATTTGAATCCTATGATGGATGATCTGAATCCTATAATTCTGGCACCTGAAATTAAGGCAGCCCATTTTGAGCTCAAACATGTGATGTTCAATATGTTGAATTCTATAGGACAGTTTGGGGGCATGCCAACTGAAGATACCAGGTAGTATATTAACAAATTTTTGGAGGTTTGTGATTCTTTCTGCCAACAAGGAGTGCACGAGGATGTGTTGAAATTAAAGTTATTTCCATACTCTATGTGTAACTGAGCGAGGGCTTGGTTGAGTGGTGTTCCATCTGGTTCAATGGAATCATGGACTGATCTTTGCAAAAGTTTTCTATTACACTATAACCCGCCAAACATGAACACTCAGCTAAGGAATGACATAACATCCTTTCGCCAGGGCGATGACAAATCTATGTATGAATATTGGGATCATTACAAGAGTTTGCTTCGTAAATGTTCTAATAATGGTTTTCAAGATTGAACTCAAGTAGTTATGTTTTATAATAGAGTAAATGCACCCATAATTATGATGTTCGATGTCTTAGAAAATGGAACATTGCTTGATAAATCACCTACTGAGGCATTTGATATTTTGGATAGAATTGCCAACAATGACTATCAATTTCGTTCAAGGCTTAGAATTGGGAGAAAAGAACCTAGAGCATTTAAGTTAGATATCAAGGACACTATGACCGCTCAACTCTCAACTATCACTAATATTTTAAAAAATTTACAACATTCAATTGAGGTAAAGGAAGTAAAAGTAATTAATTCGACATATTTGTTATGCCAAGGTAATCATCATTAGAGTGAATGCTTGGCTAATCATGAGTCCATCAACTTTGTAGGTAATTTTAATCGTACCAATAACAATCTCTATTCTAACACCTATAATGCAGGATGTCACCAACACCCTAACTTCTCATGGGGTAATCAAAGAGCCCCTAATGCTAGTCAACCTACTCATCAACAAAATTATACTGAATATCAAGGATACCAAAACACGGTGCCATGACATAATGCTAACAAGGGAGCCTCGTCTTCAGCAAACAAAAGTTCATTGGAGGCCACAATTCAAGATTCCATATCTACCATGAAGACAATATTGCAAGACCATTCTACTTCAATTAAGAATCAAGGAGCTTTGCTTCATAGTCAAGGTTCCTTACTTCAAAGTCATAGCTTATCTCTGATAGCTTTAGAAGGTCAAGTTGGTCATATTGAAAAGAACAATGAAATGTATTGACTCTTCAGAGTGGAACGAAGATTAACCAATAAGTCATGGTTGGGGGAGAATAATATGATGATTCAACCCCCATTTTCGAACAAGTTGAAATTGAATTACATGATGATATCATTATCGAGAATGACAAAGAGAAGGGTTCTACTAGTGAACCTGACGAAGCACTTGACGAAGCACTAAATTCTAATGCCAAGGCAGAAAATAATTCCTACTCCCGTAGTTGAGGAAGTTAGACCCCCACCACCCTTCCCGCAAATATTGAAGAAGCACGATGATGAAGTTGAATTCAAAAGGTTTGTGGACATTCTTGATCAGCTCCACATTAATATACCTCTCTTGGAAGACATTGAACAAATGCCAACTTATACAAAATTTCCTAAGGAAATTTGCACCAAGAAGAGGAAAGTTGAGAAGTACGAGACAGTTACCATGGAAAAAGAATATTGTTTCGCGTTGAGCAAGTTGCTGCCAAAGCAAAATGATATGGGAAGCTCCATTATTCCATGTTCCACAAGAGCTATTTTCGTCAGAAAGACACTATACGATTTTGGTTCAAGTGTGAACTTAATGCCAAAATCTATATTCTTGAAGCTTGATATGGGAAATGCCAGACCCACCTCTGTGATTTTACAACTTGTCGACTGATCCCATGTTAGATCTGAAGGAAGAGTCAAGGATGTCATAGTGAAGGTGGATAAATTTGTATTCCCAATCGACTTCCTTATCCTTAATTTTGAAGTTGATGCCAAGGTGCCCATCATCTTGGGTAGGCATTTCCTAGCCACTGGTTGAATTCTGATTGATTGTGAAAAAGGTGAACTTACCATGAGAGTGGTCGACCAGTGTGTGACTGTCAATATTTTTCGTACTCTCAAGTATGTTGATGATTCTGAAAAATGCCAAGGCATTTTTGAAATGAACTCATTTATTGAAGAAGAAACTAAACAACATTTTCAAAGCAATTTCATTCAGCTAGCATACTATGAATGGCCTCTTGACGATGAAAACATATAGGAGCATGAAAAATTACCTGCTGGGGTAGAGCAATCTAGCTTACTACTAGCTAGATCAGGTATGAACTTTGAACCCTTTAATTTTGATGAATTTATTCCTCCTAAGCCATCGTTATTGCATGCACCTACCCTAAGCTAAAGCCTTTTCCAAAGCATCTGAAATATATTTACTTGGGTAGTGATAAAACCTTTCATTTGATTATTTCTTCTAGCCTTACTACTAACCAAGAGAAAAGTTTGTTAAGGGTTTTATCACAGCATAAAAAAAACTTGGATGGACTATGGTTAATTTAAAGGGAATTAGTCCCATGATTTGCATGCATAAGATCCTACTAGAAGAATGTCATGGCAACTTGATAGAACCACAACGAAGACTCAACCCAGTAATGAAGAAAGTGGTGATGAAAGAAATACTTAAATGGCTATATGTTAAAGTGATTTACCCCATATCTAATAGCTCATGGGTGAGCCATGTCTAATGTGTGCCCAAGAAAGGTGGCACGATTGTGGTGACCAATGAAGATAATGAGTTATTCTATACGTGCACTATCACTAGTTTGAGGATATGTATTGATTATCGTAAGCTCAACAAAGCTACAAAGAATGACCATTTTCCTCTACCCGTCATCGATCAAATACCGAATTGATTGGAAGGCAAAGTATTTTACTGCTTCTTAGATGTGTATTTTGAGTTGAATCAAGTTGCCATCGCACCAAAGGACCAGGAGAAGACCACATTAACTTGTCCCTATGGCACTTTTGCCTTTAGAATGATGCCTTTTGGACACTATAATGCCCCGATAACTTTTCAGCATTGCATGCAAGCCATCTTTTCTGATATAGATAAAGACTTCCTTGATATATTCATGGATGATTTTTTTTGTTTCTGGAGATGATTTTAAGTGATGCCTTGGCAATTTGGAAAAAGTTCTTAAAGATGCGAGGAGACTGATCTAGTTTTGACCTGAGAGAAATGTCACTGCATGGTGACTGAGGGCATTGTATTAGGGCACAAGATATCTCACAAGGGCATTGAGGTGGATAAAGCTAAGATTGAAGTGATTGAAAATTTGTCGCCACCTACCTCTGCCAAGGGCATAAGAAGTTTTGTTGGATACGTTAGCTTTTATAGAAGATTCATCTAGGAATTCTCCAAAATCTCTAAGCCCTTATGTACCTTGCTTCAACAAAACCAACCCTTTGTGATCGACGAGTTTTGCCTAGGCGCATTAACTGAGCTGAAGCAATGTTTGGTCTCAGCACCGATTGTAGTTCCTCCCGACTGGACATTACCATTTGATTTAATGTGTGATGCAAGCGATTATGCTATATGAGTTGTTCTGGGGTAATGCCAAGGTAAAATTTTTCATGTTATATATTATGGTAGTCGTACCTTGAATGAGGCACAAATAAATTACACAACCAATGAGAAAGAATGACTTATTGTAGTATTTGCATTTGATAAATTTAGACCATACCTAATAGGCACTAAGGTTATTGTTCACACTGATCACCCAACTATTAAATAGTTAGTGAACAAAAAGGATGCCAAGCCTAGACTTATTAGGTGGATCTTACTTTTGCAAGAATTTGACTTAGAGGTTGTAAATAGAAAAGGTACTGAGAATCAAGTTTATAATCATTTATCTATGCTAGAAAACAATTATGGATGCCATGACATTGTGGATATTCAAGAGGTATTCCCTGATGAGAAAATCTTATATACCACTGCACTCCCATGGTATGTTAATCTTGTTAATTTTCTTGTTAGCAGTATACAACCTTTCGAATTGAACAGTCAGGGAAAAAAGTTCAAGCACAATGTAATGTTCCACTTTTGGGAGGAGCCATATTTATTCAAGCATTGAGCATACCAAATCATTAGAAGGTGTGTACCTGAAGAGGAGCAATAATACATCCTATACCATTGTCACACGACCCCAAGTTGAGGCCATTTTGAAGGAGCAAAGACCGTTTCCAAGGTTATGTAGCCAAGATTTTATTAGCCAACATTGTTCAAAGATGCTCAAGCATTTTACAAGTCCTGTGATCGATGCCAACGAACTGGGAACATATCCAGACGACATGAAATGTCACTGCAAGGCATTCTGGAATGATTCCAAAATCGTGTTTAAGTTTTTGCACAATAATAACTTCACTCAGTTTGGAGTGTCTCGAGCCATCATTAACAACGAGGGAATCCATTTTGACAACAAGTTGGTTGCCAAGGCATTGAGGAGATATAGAGTCCAACACAAGATTACCATAGCATATCATCCACAGACGAATGGCCAAGTTGAAATATATAATCATGAGATAAAGCAAATTTTAGAAAAACAATGGTGAATTTGAGGCGGACAGATTGGTCACCAAAGTTAGATGAGACACTTTGGGTATATAGAACATCTTTTAAGACTCATCTAGGCATGTCACCCTTCAAATTAGTGTATGAAAAGGCTTGCCACCTCCCTATTGAGCTAGAACACAAGGCGTATTGGGCCATTAAGAGGCTGAATTTCAATGCTCGGTTAGTTGGGGAACAAAGATTATTTGAGCTTAATGAGATGGAAAAGTTTAAGGCACAAGCATATGAGAATACCAAGCTATACAAGGAAAATACTAAAAAGTGGCATGACCAAAATCTGATACCACAACATTTTCATGTTGGCCAACATGTGTTACTTTACAATTCAAGGCTTAAGTTCTTCCCTGAAAAGCTCAAATCTAGATGGTCAGAACCATTTGAGGTGCATCACGTCTATCATCATGGAGCAGTTGATATAAAAAATGTAGATGATAGGACAATCTTTATGGTCAATGGTGAGCGCCTGAAAATTTACAATGGAGCTCCACCTTTAAGCGACAAGTCGGTGCTTTACCTGCATGACGTCTGAGTGTGCCTGCCCCGTGAACAAAATTTCAACGCCACGACATTGGATTTTGCTTATTGTACATAAATAAAGAATTTATTGTTATTTTTATTTTTATTTTTATCATTTTTATTATTCATAGGTAATTACAATTTGTTTTGTATTGTAGGGACCCACCGATACACATGCTTGTACGATTTAGCGGTTACCAAATGAAGAAAATACAAAATTGATGAGGGAAATATTCTTTTTACACTTTATTCCCTTATTTTATTTATTTCCATTTTTTTAATTGTCTTTTCACCCTTTATTTAATATTTACAGTTTACTTTTTCACCTACCCATTTTACCCCATCCACTAACTCCTTTTCAATCGTCCACTCACTCTCTCTCCTTCATTATTTCCTTAACTTTTCATTTTAATCTTCTTCTTCTCTCCTTTCCCTCCATAACTGATGACATTGTAGCAAAACAAAGCTCTCAGATTTTTCTTCTTTTCACTCTCAAAACAGTGAAAAAATGGTACAAACGCAACCCTCAAGAGCTGACGCTGCTCTTTCTCAGTAATTTGTCGATGATGTGGTGAAGGAGAGGTGTCAAAATTTCAAGAATCGAAAACATTTTTTTGAGTTGGGGTTCATTTTTACTAAGGAGTAGGATGGTGGTTTTGGATCAGACGTCATAGACATTGTCGAGCCACACAAACGGCGAAAGTTTACAAGACATCTTCTGAGGCCAATGATATAGACCCAACCGCTGCTGAGTTCGTCCCAGATCTTGTACCCTAGTCCCCTACTCCTAATTCTCCTGTTGAGCCGCCTCATGCAACCCTCAGTCTTGTTGAAGCATTAGAACCTCCTTCCGCACGTCGAACCAGTTGTCGTATTAAGACTTCAACGAGGGGTGTCAATATCACCCACTATTACTCAACATCTTCATATTCCAGTCCCACGCCACTACGAAAGGGAACAAAGTGTGGAGCTTCCAGCACCACTACTGCAACACTGTTACCACCATAAAAATTGAGGTACTTCATTTTGCACTCATTCTACATTCATTTTGCATTCATTTTTGCATAACATAAAATTGCATTTTATTTTATTAATTAATTAGTTCTCTTAATCATTGAGGACAATACTTCTATCAAGTTAGGGGGAGGTAGTGTTCTTCGTAGAACATATGCATGATAGTATTAGCATAATATTATACCATGTCATCAATAAATGATAGGATAGTTAGACAAAATGTTTTGATGATACCCGATGATGATGCACTTTTTAGGTTAGAAATTAGATGTAAATGGCTATTGAGAATGATAGAATTGACTTTAGGGCTTGATGCTTTGTGAATTAGTTTTACACGATTTGTATGTTCTCTATACTTAAGGAGCTTAGGAAGTTTTTATGAAAGAACTTTAATTAGCCTTGGCATTAAAATATGGCATTGTGCTTAATTGATAAATCTTTAAAGAATTCCCTTATGTCTGAATTTTGTTTAATCGTGAATAAATGCTTCGGCATAGCTGTAAAGGAACACTCCTCTTTGTTGTGGCATTGCCTGGAATTCTCTTTAATAAATGACAACCATGTGCGTGCGAGTGAATGAAATCAGTCACAGGATGACTCTACCTGACTAGCTTGCGGAGGAAAGTATGCTCTCTTTCACTTAGAGTGTGGGATAGTAGGTGTGATGGGTTGACTCCCTTCATAGCAACATAATAAAAAGAAAAAGTGTGTATTTAGTAAAAATGGAGTATAAATGTGCTTAATAAATGAGTAAATGTCGTGACGAAACTAGGGAACTTAATTATAAATTGCCTAAAGTCGTTAAGTATAGATTAGATACAATCACACACACAACACCACAGAGAATATTAACCTAGGGAAAAGTACTTGATTTCTTGATATGTCTAGCATGTTGAAGCATATTTTTATGAGGGTTGAAATTATATTTTTGTCTTGATTGCCCTATTGTTGAAAGTTTCCATGATATTTTGTTTGTGTTAATTGCTATACATTGCTTGGGATAAGCAATAGCTTAAGTTTGGGGGTGTGATAACTCCGTAAAAATGCTACTTTTAAGGCCTTTTCCACTTAAGTTATTGTTTGTCTAAAGATTTATATAAGTCATTTTAGGTGCATATAGTTGCATTTAGTTGCATTTGTGGTGGTTATGTTGTTTTACTTTGTTAAGGTGTTATATGATGGGAAAGAGTGGTTGGTTAGTGATGTGAAGGAAACAAGTAGCATAAGGTAAGCTGAAAAGAATGTTGCGACATCATATGTTGCTAAAGCAGACTACAATGCCTTGGCATTTCTGGCGCAGAAAATGACAAAAATAAATTTTCTCAAGAGGATAGCTGTCAAGGCACGTGTATATTTCATGTAACTGCCAGGTGGGGGTTCACTGTCACCCATAGAGATAAGTTTCACGCACAAGGAATGACTTGGGGGTACGATGGGTATTTTGAGTGCAAAATCCCAAAAATATCTTTAGATAATTTTTGTTATTAAATGACACTACATAAGAGAGAGAAGGAACAGTTACACAAGCTTGAAAATCATCTTCTCCATTCTCTCAACCGTTCTTCTTTTCTCCACTTTTATTGGTGTTCCTCCATTGGTGAAACTCAAGGAAGTGGCGTAAGCATCTGAGAGGAGCTCGCACTATAGCCATTCATGGTGGTTTGAGGAAGCATCGGCCGTGCACACCTTGTGTCTTCTTCTCCAACCTTTGCTCCATTGTTAAAGCTTGAAAAACTTAATTGGGTTGTTTGGTTGAATGAACGATTGTATATACTCTATAGTTTATTCAAACCCCACCATGAACTAAGCTATATTTGGTGGGAGTTCATTTGATGGATGCTTGAAAACTTTATTTTAATGGTTGATGATTGAATTTCTTTTGTTTTTACTTGTTTTATTTATGTGTGCTTCATCTTCTAAGATTGTAGGAGGCATGAGAGTGTCCATTTTTAGATGAAGACTAGATGTTCGATAGAAATCTAGTCATTAATTCTTAAGTATTCAAGAGAAACTTAAGTAAGATTAGCATAAACAATGGGGTATTAATCTCTTAGTACTTGAGAGAGACTAAGCTAGGATTTCAACGACTAAGAGGAGTAGTGTATCATCAATAGTGTAGGTTATCATAATTGAGACTGAGAAGAGAGATATCGTGGAATTCTATTTTGTTAGGTTCTTATGACTAGAGATAGCGAGAACAGTTTTAGCAAACTCTGTGAACAAGTAAAATATTAGAAGACTAAATCAGCTATAGATATAAGTTTTCAGCTCCTTAAGTGTCTCCCCACCATTCATTTCCGAAGTAGTTTCCCGTGTGAGGATTGCCAAGTTATTCATTTATTTGCTATTTTTACCATTTTATTTTTCCACGACATTATTCACTCAATCGCATTACATCACCATCATTTCATTCACTCTCATATTTCCATTGTCGAAGTATTATCAGTGTATATATCATTTTAATACTTAGATAGATTAGTGTAGTGTTGTAGTCAAACTCATAATTTCCACCAATCCCTATGGAGACGATACTCACTCATCACTTTATTACTTGTTCGATTGTGTATACTTACACATCATCTGCGTATAATTTTATAGTACTCACAACACGCAACAATGAGTTTTAAACTTAAATGATTATGTATTGTTTTTCTACCTCATGTATGTTAAAATGTATTATGATGAACATTTTTAAAGTTTTAATGATTTTTTTTCATAAGTTTTAGTTCATCATAATGATTTTTAGTCAAATATGTTTTTAATTTTTTTTTACAAATTTTGATTTTTGTCCTTAAATTTAAATGTTTATGCATGTAATTTATTGTAAATGATATCTCTCTAACAATTTATATCAATTTTTCAAATGCATAACATTTTTGTATAGTTTTATGCATATAAACTTTAATGTATCATGATTAATATTGCATAAAGTTGTATAGACTTTGATTTATTTAATTTCATGAGTTACTAACATGTTTGTTTATCTTTGTTGAAATTTAATAGTTTTTAGTGTCAAAATTTTTAAAGTCAATTTTTTATAATGTTTTTGTTGAGAGGGAGCTTTTGATTTTTCAAATGAATTTCTAAGTTAAAATTTCTACTTTCCATTGTTATTTTTGAACCATATAGTTTGAATTATTTTTTATTTAACAAAAATGGAGGAGAAGTATGGGTTTAAAAATTTAAATTTCAATAATGACAAAGGGGAAGCTTTAATATTTTCTAAAGTATTTATCTTTTTCATCAAATGTTTTCTAAGGGAGAGATTTGTCAAAAACCATTTTTAAAGGTTTTATTATATCAAAAATGGGAGATTGTTGAACCTATTTTTATATAATAAATTTAAGGGCAAATTGTTTTTGGAATAAATTAAATGTGTGCAAAGTTTTTCAAAAATAATTCAAAGTCCATAAACTTGAATTTGAACACAAAACTATTTTTAGTGCAAGAAGTACTGATATTGTGCTTACGGTATTGATACCACATGAACAGTACCGATATTGTTCTTGTAGTATCGATACTCAATGTAAGTGAAGTATCGATACTCCCATGGTAGTACCGATACTGCCTATTGATTTTAAGTGTGTTCAAATTCTAGTAGCCAATTTTGGTACTGATACTATACAAGTATTGATACCAGTATCGATAACGAAAACCCCAGTACCGATACTCCCTGTCCAACGGTCATATAACTGCTAGTTTTTATTATAGTAGTATCGATACTCTCTTGTTTTTACAGTTTTATTTTGCAGAAAATTAATCCCCAACAGCTCCAAAACATCACCAACGACTAGAAACGTTCACAAACACATTCCAACATATAAAAACAAGTTGATGACACTTGAAGAAGATTACAACACCTATCCAAGAAATTCACATCAAGAGAAAAGCTCTTTCAATCTTATTTTTCCTTTTCTCTTGTAAATAGAGTGTTTTAGTAAGTTTAATTGCGTAAACACCTTCTTTTGAGAGGTTTCTTGATTACAATCTTTGTATCCT